AGAAGCAACTTAGAACTAAGGAGAAACTTCCTGACAGTTAGAACAATTAACCAATGGAACAACCTGCCTCCAGAAGTGGTGAATGCTCCAACACTGGAAGTTTTTAAGAAGAGACTGGACAGCCGTTTGTCTGAAATGGTGTAGGGTTCCTGCCTGGGCAGGGGGTTGGACTCGATGACCTCCAAGGTCCCTTCCAACTAATATTATTATTATTATTATTATTATTATTATTATTATTATTATTATTATTATTATTATTATTATCTATATCTGTATCTATCTATCTACACACACACACTTATAGATATATAGATATAAATATAGATAAAAGCAAATATGCTTTTCTGCTGAAGAGCAGCCACATAAAACACTTGTTAATCATTAAGAGTATCCAGGAAGCCAAAAGAGATCCAATCTCACTCCCTTCTAGCACTGATGATGTTACCTAGTTAGGTAATAAAACGTCTGCAAGAAAGCAAGCTCAGAGAGCCCCAAGGACTTCACAGAGCAAAAACTGTTAAGTGGATTGCTCTCCGTGAAAGCTTAGTTCTGTTACAAGATTTGGAAAACAACCAGCTTCTGGACACAACAACACTATCCCCTGCTAGAATTGACTACAGTCCTATAGGCAGCTACAAGCCACGGGTCCAGTGTCAACTGTAACTTCCAAATGCTGAAAGGCACATAAAAATCTTTGACACAAAATGTTAAGATTCACCAAAAGGAGAATCTGAGCAGCAGAGCAAGAAATAAAAGCAGGATTTTCTTGCTGGAACTTGTTTTTCATGTTTGCACTTTTCCAGGTTCTTGTAAATACATTAATTGCTAGTTTGGGATATTTCAGTCTCATTTTACACTGACAGACAGTTCTGAGAGTGTAGATGCTCTAAGAGAGGGACAGCCTAAACAGAGACTATAGGCAATCCTTGACCACAAATGAGCCCAAAACTTATATTGCCCCATTTTGCGACTTTCCTAGCCACATTTGTTAAGTGAGTCCCTGCAGTTCTTAAATTAGTAGCCCGGTTGTTAACTGAATCTGGCTTCCCCATGGATTTTGCTTGCCAGAAGGTCACAAAAGGAACACAGCAACCGTCATAAATACGAGTCAGTTGCCAAGCATCCAAATTTTGATCACGTGACCCTGGGGACG